TCGGGAGGCGCCGCAGCACGCGCACACCGGCGGCAACGTGGCCGCTGGCGAAGCAGCGACGCACGAGGCGCAGCAAAGCACGCACAAGCGATGGGTGCGCGCGCAGCAGCTCGCTGGTGAGGTTGCCGAGGTTGTACGCGTGGTACGCAAACGCTGCGGCGGCACGAATGCCATCAACACAACAGCGAATGCCGCCGACATGTACGGCAACGTACTCCAGTTTTGCAGCAGTCGTAGGCTGCGCGGCCAGCTCTGGGCAGTCAAAGTACGCATGGCTATTGTCAAAGCACAACAGGCAGTGACTCCGCATCGGAACTGCTGCCGCACGGGCAGCCTCGCTAGACATTCCCAACGCCATCGTATCATCCAACAACGAGGAGGTAGAGGAGGAGGACGCGCCGCTGCCGTCGCTATTTAGCAGGGTGTAGATGCCATCGTCGGAGAAGCGGTTCATGCGCAGCATCGCACTGGTGGTATGGCGAGAGATGAACGCCACGGGAGTCCGTGCGTAAAGACGATAGGCGAACTTCACTTGTCCCACAGATGCCAGTTTTGTAATAGTCTTATTGATTGCGTACACGATAGGGTCATCCACGTCAATTCGCCGCCGCGGCCTGTGCCCTGTTGTTGTTGCTGCTTCTGCTGCTCCCACAACTACTTCTTCAGCATCGCCAGTATCGTCGTCAACGTCAGTACGGATGCCTTCCTCAAAGGTGTCCACACGCTGCAGCAAAAAACGATAGAACGCATGCAGTCGCTCGGGTCCTGCGGAGGTCCAGCCGTCCACCTGCGCTCGCAACCGTTTCGCCTGCTGCTGCTCTCGCAGAGGGTCGGACAAGGCCGTAGCTGCAGGCCCCGATGTACCTCCCGTGAAGGTGCGTGCGTCCACTTCACTCAACCACTGCGTCAACCTCGGACACTCAAAAGAGGCGTGCCGCTCATCCAGGCACATGCAGCAGGTGAGTACCACCTGCACGAAGTTTGGGTGCGACTCGTCCTCAACGCCGAGGGGGCTCCGCTTGCGCAGCAGATCCCGCGCCTCTTCGATAGGCACATTGAAGTAATGCACCATCACCAGGTACGCCTCATCATTTCGCAAATGCAACGGGACGTGACAAAGCACAAACGCCGCGCGTCGGTACTGACGATAGTTACTCAGCAGCACAGAGAGTCGGTTCACATCACGACTGTGGACTTCTGCAAACAGTTCACGGTACGGCGACTTGACGAATGCGGTGTAGGCGTCCACGACGAGGCGGCTGTTCTCCGCACCGCGCTGCACCGCAGTCTCCACGATGAGGCGCAGCTGCTGCAGCACCGCCCGCTGTTTCTCCTCTGGCGTCATATTGATTGAAGTGCGTGTCGTCGTGGAGAAGTCACGAGTGATAATTGGGCACGCCTTCCACGCATGTACGCCAAAGCACACTTTGCATGTGGCGGGGGTGAAGACGGCATGGAAGAACTTATCCTCATCGTAGGCGAGATCCTGTGCCGTAAGTCCAACACAGGCCGCCTCACTGCCACCAAACAGCTGTGCCAGGGCAAACAGTGTCTCATTCTTCTGCCGCGCCTGCGCCGGAACCAGTCGCATGTACAAATACCCTGCCAACACACGCTCGTGCAGGGCACAGAGCCGCCGTATCAGCTGGTCGATGCGCTCGTGGTCGTGCGGTGTGGCACGCAGCAAGAAAGCACGTCGGTACACCATGAGGAGGTATGCCGCAACAATGGCATCGATGGGGCGCGCCTCAGCGTTCGCCACGCGTGTGCGGATCTCCGTCATCACATCTCCGGAGTCCGTGTACACGAAGTGGCGCCACGGCGCGGACGGGCCCGTCTCAGCGCCACACGCCGCACACTGCACACGCGAGCTCCACTCCGAGTTGTGCTCTTGGCACCAGACACACGTCCATGGGCCGTCCACCCGTATATAGGAGAGCAACAGCGGTTGCTGCCGATCCTGTTGCGTCGTGGATCTGTGCGGCGACGCAGACGAGAGTAACGAGGGCGGCGCGGCGAGGTTCCACGACGATGGCGAAGCACCACGCTGTGCCAATATGTAACGCCGCGCCGCCTCCTGCAGCTGCAGGCGCCTCGACGATTCCTCCATGGCAGCATGGACATCAAACGGGGCGTCCGTACCGTCTCCATCCTTTCTGATGTTGCTACTCTTGGTGGCGGTGCCGTCATTACCGTCGAAGAGGAAGAGCGGCACCTCCATGTTTACCGCCACGCCTGGAATTAGTGGCACCGTGTCGCCAAGTATCTCGCGCTTGAACACAGTTCCAGCATCCAGCGGTGGGCGGGCGAATGCCGCCGATGACGCAGCGGCACTAGCCTCGTGCGGCGACCCCGTGTCGTGTTTGTCATCTCTCTGCTTTGACCAGCGGTGAATGCGTTCGTGCAGCCGCTGCCGGTTTTTCAGCCGAAGAGCCTTGCGCTTCTCACGCAGACGTGCGACATGCTCGCTGGAGAGCTGAAAACTCGGCAGTGCGTTCGGGTCCTTGGGCGGCACGACTGTCAGACACAACGGGCACACACGCTCAACGAAGACGTCCTGTTCCGGGAGAATAGAGCTGCAGGACGGGCACACCAGATCGTTCATGACTTGCATGAAGTCGGCGCGGAATCCCTCCGTGAAGGCGTAGACGTTTTCAAGCACGGCGTTATAGAACTGCCGCAGTTCCTCCTGTAGACCGAGGCGAATCAGAACACGCGAAGCGGGGACGAGGTGGTGATGCAATTGCGGGAGCAGATGCACACCGACATCCACCAGAAGCCAGCGGAAAACCTTCTTCGTCACCTCCCTCGCCTCTTCTGTGTGGTGCGAAGCGTCGAGGCGGTGCAGCAGCCAGAGCGACATGTCCAGGCCGTCAATAATGTGCCGCGACGATACGGCACGGGCGACGTTGAGCGTCATCCACGGGTCGGCGCCTCGGCAAAGCACGTCAATGACGTACTCGCTGAGGTCTCCTGCCTCCTCTGGGATGATGTTGTACCACGTCGGGCACTCGCGGTTCAGTGTCTGGAAGAGGCGCCACACAACACCCCAGTGAATCATTGGCAAACCACTGTGTGGCACTGAGGGCTGCAGCTGACCATAAACAGCGGCGGGAGCGTCGTTGCCACCCGCCACCACGTCACGCGTCTCGCGAACAATCTTGAAAAACAACAGAAATGGTGATGGGTGCACCTCCGCGCCCTCCACCGCACCGCTGTCCGCATCTCTCTTCACCAGCGCCTCCGAGGATGACAACTGGGAGTTGGCGGTGGCTCGGCTCTTGGCCTCCAGCAACTTTTCATCTGCAATCGTTGCGGCTTGCTCCCGCAGTGCATGGCAAGTACGCAGATAGCGGCGAAGAATCTGCAGAGCGATCAGCGGGGATGCCTGACCAGAGAAGGACACATTCGCACGCAGCATGAGCCGTGAGGCCAAACGCGCATCGAGACCGAATACAATGCCCTCAGTGGTGGAATCGCCTTCCACGTGCATCGTGCCCGACCCCCACGCACGCTGGTCGCGCAGGGTCTGGTAGTGTTGCTCCGCAAAGCCCACCTCGGCGGTGCCCAAGCGGCACCACTCTAGCCGCTCCGAGTCCTGTGTAAGACGCGCGAGCGAAGCGGGGCGAACCTCGAACGTGGTGAGCATCACTGTGTCGTCACCGATGCTACCAGTGCGTTGATGCTGACGGCGGCGGCCTCTATTACTATTGCCACAGCTTTCCTTGACCCGACCTGTTGCAGAACCCACCCCCACTCCTACTGCTTCCGCTGGCTCTTCCTCTCCCATGACTTCTGCAGGGATTCGCCGCCCCGTTTGCACCACGCGGCTTTCGCCGGGTGCTTGCTGTGGCGCGAGTGTTAGAAGTCTCCAGAGAAGCTGTGATTGTGCAATTTTCCCTTCACCTGCCGCCTCCATGACTGCAGCCCAGAGTCCAGGTGTGATCCAGGCATCCGGCATGCCCTCCAGCACACCCATCGCATCACTAAAGAGTCTGTCAGACAGCAACGCCTGGCAGAGAAGCACCCGCACCGCTGGCGTGTCGTACAAGTGCGGGCAGCGCTGCCGGAGAATTTGGCTGACGGTCTGCAGCGCGAAGGATGCGGCGCCTGCAGATGACGTCAGGCGCGGTTGGCTCAGCACCGCCTCCAGTGCGTGCTCGGTGAGGCGCTGGCACGGCGTACGGTGCTGCAAGACGCTCAGCAACACCTCCATGGGCGACGGTGCGTCGGGGTGTAGCAGCAACGCGTCGAGGTCCACGGAGCCACGCTCGAGGTAGCGCTGCAGCACCCAGGCGTACGGCTCGTAGCGACGGCGGC